TAGTTCAATCTGTATTGTGTAGCAAGCTGGGACAAGTCTGTTCTGCCTATCTCATAGTTTTATGATTAGCTTCGTGGGGTGTTCAGGAATCCATTTCAGGAGAATGAGAGCTAAGATGAAAGTTTCCCACGCGCTGACGCTCCCACTAGACATTTTTTCCTAACTTACAGTGTGGTGATGGCACTTGGAATTCGGGATTTCACGTCCACCTTTCAAGTTCACTGTAATTCTTCCATGATGACCTGAATATGCAATATCGATGAGGAATCGAGCATTCAAAGATATGCCCGTCAGAAACACGATACTCACAAATATAAGTCCTTATTTGGGAACTTATCGCTCATATTTGAGGGGTCGCTGTTGTAGTAGATCGAATTTTGGTTAGGCGAGAAAAACGCCAGCCACCAACCAAATGTGGATGTTGGTGCCGTTATAAACATAGCTTGACACACATTTGATGCTATGTGGAAATCTACACCTTCAGAGTAAATTGAATAGTGAACCTTCTAAAATATTTGTAAATTTTCGGAAGTATAATCTAGAAGTGTAAAAATAGTTACTTTCGGATGCATCCTCTCTTGCATACTTTTCATGAAGTCAACATCGTCACCAAATATGACATATTCTGTTAAATTCTAAATAAAATATCAAAGTTATTTAAAGATGATTAGCGAAAGCGAAAACCGTAATACCGATAAGGCAGCAATATGCTGAATTTTCTGAACGCTATCCCTGAGGGTAGTTGCCAAACGTAAACTGATAAAATCTGAACGTCGTATGTGAGCACACATGGCTCCTGCATGTCCTCTAAATTGTAAAACTTGGGGTGGCACTAGCAGATAAGCACTTGATCCTTGAAAATCCCAATATCGATCAAATTAGAAAAAGAAACTCCTTGAAGTGTGTCTTAACGGCTTTCAATCTCACATTTTCCAACGCTGTAAAACTTCGTCTCCTGCTTGCTTGACATCGTCAGAAAGTTCGAGAAGATAACGAATCTCTGGCAATATGGGCTCAAAATAGCGAACATTTTGGGCATAGTGTATCTCAAGGACGAGAAATTGCTCGGTACTGGTTTGTAACCTGGATAAAAGTCATTTAGAGGGTAAGAGTAAAATATAGAATATGATGCTTCAACGACATATAGTAGAAATGTACAAAAAATTATTCTTTCTTGACAATTTCTTAAGTTTTAAAAATCTTCTAGCAATTACCTCGTAGGATCCTCATATTCGCAGCAGCTCATCTTCCCATTCTTCTGAGCGAACGGCTCACGATGCTCATTGTCAACTTCCTAAATACTCATTTTAAGGATATATCTACTGAGTTGAGCAGTTTTGCACCAACCATCACGACAAAAGTGTTTTTCAGTCGCGGGAACATCTCCTCAATTCTTTTAATATGTTTAGCTATATGATATCCTTCGATATGCAATGTGCGAATATAATGACGTCTGTTGAGTTTCTTTGCTATCCCATAGCCAGAGCACAAATGGAAAAGCTGGAATT